GAATTTGGGCTTTGGAAATTGTACTTCTCTATATCAATATTTCTCGAACCAGATTGGCGATCCCCAGAGGATATTGATGAAACGTACGGTTAATACCAAAAATTGTGTTATTAAAAATGGAATCAATTATCCGACCGATAAATTTGTTTTCAACTTTGAATGCCCGCTTGTTTGAGCTTTTGGTTTACATAAAATAATTTTTGATTTTTTTGGGGATCACAATGGAAGAACAAAGTTTTTATTTATTTATTTATTAGGTTCTCCAACAGTTATAACACAAATGAATAAAAAAAATACAAGTTCCAACATGTCTTAAGCTAAGTGCATAACTACTTATAGGGGAACACATCATGCGTTTAATAATGAAATAAAAAAGTATAGTTATCATAAAGTTACCTCTATGTGAAAGAACAATCATTAAACCTATTTTAAGTTATTTTTTAATAAATTACAGAAGATATTTTTTGACAAAGTCCCTCATCTGTTTACGAAAATGTTCAGAAGAATCAAAATTAAGATCTACCAATGTGCTGCATTCATTGTAAAGTCTACTCAATCTAGGAACAGGAGAGAAATGGCCAAGTTTAGTCCTACGCATTGGTGGGTTCATAGGCTGAATAGGCATTATCGGAAGCCGAGAAGGTATTCTGAAGGAAAAGGAATTTAGCAAAGGAGGACAGTCTATCTTATTATGGAAAAGCTTGTATACAAACATCAAATCCGAAATGTCACTTCTTGCTTCAAGTGGTAATAACATAAAAGTGAGAAGCCTACTTTTGTACGATTTTAACGGTCGAGCTTTATCTACAGAGAACGCTACGTGCCATAGAAACCTTTTCTGAACCCTTTCCAAGCGTAACGTATGTGTTGCGAAATGGGGCCTCCAAACAACACTGCAGTATTCCATAATGCTACGCACAAACTGTTATAAAGAATCATCTTGGTCTTAACGGTCTTGAAAATCTTTGTATTGCGTATAATGAAACCGAGCATTTCGGAAGCTTTTTTTATAATATGGTCGAAATGTGTAAATGTAAGCTTGTTATCTAGCAGCACGCCCAAATCACGAACACTGTCAACTTCTCGTAATTTGATACCATTGATTTGGTATGACGAATTATTCAAAATAACGAACGAAATATTTTGTTTGCGTGTAAATTTTATATGTGTACACTTTTTCGCGTTGAGGACCATATTGTTTTCGTGACACCACCTTGTCAACTTATCTAAGTCTGCTTGCAGGAGATTCACATCATCCATGGAATCGATTTCACGCAAAAGTTTAAGGTCGTCAGCATATAAAAAAGACTTAACATTATTAAGATTAAAAGAGACATCATTAACGAAGATGTTAAACAAAACAGGACCGAGGTGCGAGCCTTGTGGCACTCCTGATGATATTTTATGGGTTTTAGATGAATAACCATTAACTACAACGAAAAAAGATCTGTGAGTTAGGTAAGAACTGAACCATTTCAATAAGGAACCATGCACACCAAAGGCTGAAAGCTTACAAAGAAGGAGGCAATGAGATACTTTATCAAACGCCTTGCTAAAATCCGTGTAAATAACATCAATCTGTTTGTTCTTGTCCATAGACTTAATCAGCTCTTCGGTGAAGCACACTAAGTTTGTCGATGTCGATCTACCCCGCGTAAATCCGTGTTGTTGGTCTGTTAAAAATTGTTTGAAATAATTGTGAATTAGGGGAGTAATCAATGACTCCATGACTTTACCCATTTGAGGGAGGATTGAAATTGGTCGGTTATATTTTCACCGCCAGATTTATAAATTGGCACAACTTTAACCACCTTCCAGGCTTCGGGGAAAACTCCAGACTTGAGAGAAAAATTAAATATATAATGTAATGGAGTGACTAAATTTGATGCACAATTAACCAAAAAAAATGGCTGGAATCTCGTCATATCCCGCTCCCTTTAACTTATCCAGCTTGGTCAAACTTTGGTAAATCATTTCTTCTGTCAGGTTAATGGAACTGAAAAAATCATTGCAATATGTGATCGGTTGTGACTGTTGACCAGATTGATTAAACTGTTCACTGTAGACAGAGGAAAAGTGCGACGCAAAAAGATCACAAATATGTTGACCATCAGACGTTGTTACAAAACCATCTGTCATCTCGGCCGGATATGAATTCAGACTGCTACGTTTCGATTTGATAAACGACCAAAAGAATTTGGAATTAATGGCAATATTTTCTTCAGTGCGTTTTATATAGGAATTGTAGGCTTCCAACGATAGTTTTTCACATCTTTTTCTACAAATATTCAATTCTATTTTATCTAACGGATTTTTATGTTTTTTGTATCTAAGTCTTATTTTATTTTTTTCATGCAATACCTTGATCAAACAAGAGCTAAACCATTTCGGAATTTTTTTGTTTCGTTTTTTTACCATTGGAACGTACTCTTTAATGATTTTATTAAGTTTATCATAGAATATTGTTACCATGTCGTCTACCTTTTTCTATTCCGAAAAAAACTTGGGACCAGTCGATTTCCACCAGTTTTCGGTTAATCATTTCATAGTCAGCCCTAAAAAAAGTTTCAACTAGTGAAGTTATAACTTTGTGCTAAGTTATAATACTTTTTTGATTTTAAAAGTATTTCTAAGGGGGGATGCAGCACATCAATTGCAGACAAAACATCAGTTGCATGGTCTACTTGAACTAATAAATGTTTATTATTTATTAATGTTTATTATTTATTAATGCTCCAAAAACACTAGATCCAGGACTTTACCCTTACAATTCGGAATTTCATTGTACTGTTTAAAGTTATTCATACAAGCAAAATCAATTAGTGTCTGACATAGTATTGATTGAGTGGCAGAGGATGTATTATTTATTTCACTCCATTCTATTTGGCTTTAATTAAAATCACCTACAATCATTGGATATACATTACTTTCTACGTACTCTAAAATTTTATTACAATATTCAGTAAATCTGTTTAGAATAACATGATTAACAGGGGGTGGTAGGTATACTGCGCAAAGTGCGATATTATAGTTGGGGTTTGAGTCTATGCTAATTTTGACCCACAAATCCTCGCAAATACTTTCCCACTCAGTTGTGCGTCTAGCATTAAATTTTTTGGCAACAGCAATCAGCACACCACCTCCCCTCTTATCATAGTGAAAACCAGTGGTTTCCCTGTCCCTGCGAAAAACTGTGTATCTATCATCAAAAAGTTCAGTACTGAATACACTCCTATCTAGCCATGTCTCCGTTGAAATAATTAAATCATATTTGCTGCAGCACAGATTACGGTAAAAATTATGCGTTTTAGTTCGCAGTCCACGAGTATTCTGATAATAAATATTTAACTGAAGCTCTACGAATGAAAAAAGAAAAAACCAATGCATGCACACAAAATAAATAAAATTTAACTTAGTACCTATATAACTATTCTAATTTAGATAAGGTGTCCATATTTTTAATAACAATATAACCAGCTGTATCGTTTTTTCTGACAAAAATTTTTCCATTCCTGACCCAGACGTACTTGAAGCCTTTCTCGTTTGCTTTTTTCCTTGTAGCAGCGTGTAAGGCCTTGTTTGCAGGTGAGAGATGTTCTGAGACAAAAATTGGCGTTCTTGCTCCAGGTATTCCGAAATGAGTGCTATTCAATTTATTTTGAGGATTGCTCTTGTTGAAAGTTATTGTTGCTGCCAGAATGTGATCCCAGGTACGAGTGGAGTCGAGCTGAACGACTATTGAACGAGGTCGAGAGCTTTTGCGATTCACTTTCGCAATACGTGCACAGTGGCGGATGTTCTGTTTGGATATTTTATAATTAATTATAGAGCCCAACCGAGTTACTAATTCAACTAAACTTTCATTTTTCTTTTCCGGCATGCATTGAATCTCAAGATTATTAGATCTTGCTGCTTGTTCTATTTGGTTTATACGAAAATTTATATCGTTTATTGTGGGATGAAGTTTATCACTCTTTATTTGTAACTCCTGTATTGATTTTTTGGATGCTTTAAGCTCCTTGTTAATTTCCTCATACTGACTACTCATAAATGACATTGACTCTTTTACGTCTTGTATTTCATCTTTGATTGATTTAAGTTGGGTGTTGAGCAAAGTGCCCATTGAGATGTTAAGTTTAGTCAGTAAATTACTCAGTTCCCGTTGTACTACGTCTTCAATTATGTTGCGGAGTGCTGTGTTTGTAGCATCGTCCGCGCCTTCAAGTAAATTCCCAATTGGAGGAGAGTAGACGGCTTGGCGTTTGCTAGGCCTTTTTGCTACGTTATTTGAAGCAGGCGCTGATGTGTGGTGGCCCCCATCACTGTCACTTTCAGTTTTTTGAGATATTGTACACGGCGGTGTTCTTTGCGTGCTCATTTTGCTTATATAGTTATTATTTTTTTTCTCTTTTTTATACTAAATAAATAAAAATATTTTTCCGCTACAACGATAAGATTAGTAGTTCCGTCCCCTGTGTGGATTAGAACCAGGGCCTTCGTATGCGTAGCAAGGGCGCAGCTACTAAAACCGCTGCGCCAACTAAGCTTACACGTAAGTGGGCGAATTTAATAATCGCAAACAACTGTCGATGAATGATTTTTGAATAGTTAGCTACAATGTGGATTGGCTAACAACACACACGAATAGAACACTTCTAACTTTTTCCGGGTGAGGGTGATATTGGATAAACCGGGTTTGTAATGAACACTTTTTTTAACGTTTTTATGGTCAAACACTTAATAATTTGAGAATATTATATTGTACACAGTAAACTAGATGGTGTTAAGGCACTTTTTTCCAATACAGTTTTTGGTAAACGTCACTTTTAACAGTAGTATGATTTTTCGAACACAGAGGTACACTATTTACGTCTTCTCGCTCGCTAGCGCGACCATTTGCTATGACGTTAGAGATTTAGACGTTAGAGAAACAATCGTCTAAGCTTTTCTTGTATCAAACAAACGCAACGAATGAGAAGATTATGTTTATTTCTGTAAGTTTAGGCTGTAAGAGAGCTGAGGTTTGAGATGAAAGTGTCCGGTGTCAAGATATGTGAAGACCCAATAATAACCTCCCAGTTCTTAAGGGCAGCAGTCACCTCGTACGCACAGCGGATCTCCGAGAAACATATACCTCCAACCACAAAAACGATGAGTCGTGGAACATTATTTATGGTCTGCTGAGCCTTATCCTTGTGCCAATGGCCATAGCGAACGCTGGTGGGTGCCTGGTATCCGGAAGTTTGGGCGCGGCCGGCCAAGAATGGAAAGTGACGTTGGTCTAATTTATCGTCGATTGCATCTATTATATCCTTGATAACTGGAGTCCACCGAGACATCTGATAAGTCTGTTCTGTGATACGCTCCTTTCTTGGAACTTGATATTGCTTTTTCCTGTTACCATCAATAACAACATTGAGGCCCAAATTCGCGAGGTTCAAAAGCGCCTGTTTGTCGGATGGCTCGAGTTGAGCGTGAGTAACTAGTTTATTCAAATTTTCTTCAGATATACCGTTTTTCGACATGATGTACAAAGCGATGATAGGCATTTTATTGTAGTTTGTAACCGTCTGATCCAGCAACACAGGTACAATGTCAAGTCACAGTACAGTCTAAGCGCATGGGTGGAGGTGACAAGCAATCAATGCGAGACTTATCCCAAATGATTAAGAAAATGCCGCAGAAACTTATAGTACTTCTTATTGTTATTCAAAGTATTCACTTTGTAGTTTTATTAACTCTTCTATTTGCTCGAACCAGTTATTAAAATACTTATTCCACTACAAAATAGAGGTGAGCAATATAGCTGTTTTAAAGTAAGTTATGTGTAGTAGGACCATGCTGCAGCTATATTTACTGTATAGTTGTAGCATGAATGGATCGTTTCGAACGCGAAAGGACCACGTTTACACAGAATACCAGCATAAAATAGCAGCTTAATGTTGAGTATGGTGAGTGAAGAGAACTGTAAACCCCTTTTACAGAAAATAGGCATTCCATCTTAGTCCTCATGACCGAAAACGCATCTGAATTTTGATTCGCAAAACGAAGATAGATGTAGATGTCTTCGGGTCACAGCAACCACTTACGATCAGGTGGACTGTGTGCTCGTTTGTCATCCTTACCCTATAAAAAAAGCGTCGACTGCTTCTTCACCATACTGGAACCTTTGACAAGTTTTTTTTTAATTTTAAGAAATGTAAAGAAATTGTTAGGGCTTAAGTCAGACTTGTATGGAGGATGGTCAAGAATTTCTACATTTTCCTGCTTCAAATACTCAATCGATTGACCAACGCTGTGTGAGCTTGCGTTGTCATCGTGTAGGATGATGCGTTGCTTTGGGTTAGATTTCCGAAGTTTGGTGATGACTTTTGGTAAACAAACTGTAGTTTACTACTCAGCATTAACCGTTCTACGATCTTCAATTGCAATATTCGCAGCATGGTCAATTTATGCAATGAACGTGGCCACCATTTTCTTTGAAGTGCTTCAAAAGTTTAGAACTTTCTAACTTTAGTCGGCTTAGGCTCGCCTTGGAAGACCTAGATTGTAGATTGTTGATTAGAATCTGGATCGTAGGTATATATCCAAGATTAGTCACCACTTACGATGACGTAGACGTGATTTGACTCTCTTCTGTTGAACTTTTGAAGAGTTTTCTTACACCATCCGACACGGGTCGCCTTATCATCGATCCAACGGCAAATTAGCTATTTCACCAATCGTTTCATACAAGATCTTCTAAATGGTTCTCCCTGAGATGTTTAATAACGCCTGTCAATATATCACATGACGATCTTCGAGAATTAGTTTTCTCACAGCAACAATGCTAGTTAAGGCGGAGTTTGGATCACGAGATTTGTCACTAAGAATCGTAACAGCGTAAAACTATTTACACAGTAAAGTAAAGGGTTATTTTATGTAATCCTTGTATAGATGGACGTAATGTAGAGGGAATGGACTGGATGTAGATGATAACCCCCCCCCCTCCTTCTCCCCGAATAGGTTCCTGTCGCTTTGCCTGAGTAGGAATTGGGCAAGGAACTGTTCTATCTCGCGTATAAGCTTCTAAAGAGAGGATAATAGAGCTACGGATGTGTGCAAGCCTTCCTGCGGCCCTGCTTATCCGGTTATTCGAGTATGACATAGCCCGTCATCCTTACTCCGCGAGGCAAGTATAAAAAAATAAGTAATATATGAAAATCCTATGAAAAACGATGATCTCATTAAACTTTGAATCAGTGAATTCAGCGTCTCGGAATTAACCAGAAACCGGTCCACACTGGAATTCTAAATACCAGCGTTCGACAGTCCTCAGACATGAGGCTTTATCATGGAACACAGAAATTAGCTGTTCGAAACACTCAACTTTAGGCCTCTTCAAACGTTGTAGAAAATTACTGCACATATATTTTCGATAGTGAGATTTATTTTCATACGTGAACTGACAGATTCAAAACGACTCTGTGACTAAAAAATAGCATTAATCCTCATACTTTCAATCGTTTTGAGATTCTGACTTTAAACAAATTTGAATATTGAACAGTTCTAAATTCAAAATTTCTGGTACATATGTAAACGACAGAACTTAAAAGGCATTTTAGTTGGCTATAAGTAAAACTTTAACGTAATGAAAAACGTTGGTGGAGCAAGGGAATGAGTTTGTGTATTTTGGATGTGTATTTAGCAGGGATGACAGATATAATAAAGATATATTATAAAAACGAGTTACGCAGAAAATAGGGTAAATGGGACTCGATACTCTATTGTAAGAAGACGGAAAGTGTCAAAAAGATACGTATGGCAATTTAAAATTATATGTTATTCTCTACCTTAATGTATAGTAGTGAAAGTTGAGTGTGGCAGAAGAAGCACAAGAGTAGAATAAATGCTGTAGAAATGGTACCGCATTTCTACTTAAGCATGTTAGGGCAAACTCTGAATAATAGGGTGAGAAATTTTGTGATGAGAGGAGAGTGTGGTTTGCGAGATGATGTTGTAACCAGGATTAAGAAAGGAATGTTCGATAGTTTTATCATGTAGAAAGAATGATTGAGAAGAGAGTGACAATACAACATAGATTTGCATTGTATTGTAAATGAATGGCAGATTCGAGCAGGGACGCTCTAGATGAAATTTTATTGACTAAATTGGCAAAATTTTCAAAATTACCCAGATTAAGAGTACCTTTAATCGACGAGCATGTATGCGCATGTAATAATATATAATATTGATGTAAAGGAGGCGGGCGAGGTGTGTGATCAGGATCGTTCCAAATGGAACTTTGTAGTCTCTGCCGACCCTCCTGGGTAACATGCGAGGGTGTTTATGATATTATTTATGATAAGTTAAACTTTACTATTGAAAACGTAATAAATCATAAACGGAACCGTTATAAAACGTGTAAAAATAAAATGATAAATGATAAATTCTTATTTTATTATTATGTATTTATAATACCAAGATAAGCCATGTTTAGTGGGAGAGCTCACGTCCCGTCAGTTGGGGATTATAAAAAGTGAAAATTTTAAATTTAAGATGCTCAAAACACTACGTATTGGATGCTTAAGATCTATCTTCGGCATTCCATAAAATATTTCTAAATTCCCGCTAAGAAAATGCGCGCGCGCGCGTGTTTGTGTGTGTGTGTGTGTGTGTGTGTGTGTGTGTGTGTGTGTGTGTGTGTGTGTGTGTATGTGTGTGTGTGGTGTGTGTGTGTGTGTGTGTGTGTGTGTGTGTGTGTGTGTGTGTGTGTGTGTGTGTGTGAGTGTGCGTGTGCGTGTGCGTGTGCGTGTGCATGTGCGTGAGCGTGTGCGTGTGCGTGGGTGTGTGCGTGTGTGTGTGCACGCGCGTATGCGTGGTGTGTGTGTGTGTGTGTGTGTGTGTGTGTGTGTGTGTGTGTGTGTTTGGGTGTTGATTATGGAGATGCGGTTTCCGGCGTTCTGGAGTTCTCAATGTCGAATATATTCGGTAATAATATAAACTGATTCGGACAATTAGATTTTGAGAAATCACAAAATAGGAATTTTGAAAAACTGTTTTTAAATAACATTTAAAGGGCCTTACCGATCGATTTCCAAAACTAATCAGCTAAACTAAATTAAACCTCAAAAAATTACGTCAAATGCTACTTAGAAAATAAAAATCTGTTTATTCGTTCGTAAGATATCGAAGGGGAAAGAATTTGAAAAAAAAAAAGTTTTTTTACATTACTTCGAGATTTCGCAACTGAGCAAGTTTATGCTTCTTACATTATTTGTAAAACTTAAAAAAACTGCATCGAATGCCGTTTTGAACATGAAAATCGATCTATCCGTTCATGATAAATCGAAGAAGAACATTTTTGAAATATTTTTTTTCAAAATACTTCGATATTTCATATTCAACGTCATAATTTGATAAAATTTGGAGCGCATTTAAAATTAGTGGGAAGTTCTAGGGATGGCCTGCAGGGTCAACCAATTTTTTTACTATCATATACTCCTAAAAATTATTAGGCATGTTTCCAAAACGAAAGGTTTATTTAGTTTTTCTAACATTACTTTTCATTACAACTTTACAAATCCACTAATTTTCATAGGCCTCCCCCAAAGAATACTAACTTACTTAAATTTATAATTTTTTTATATATAATAATGTAAATATTGGTTATCACTATGACATCATCATTATCATTTGGATTGTTATGCTTCCCATATGTTAATTGCTGAATTGACTGATTGACTTACAAGGAACGCAACACGATCTTGAGCGACCTCAATCAGTCAACTTCCCTTCGGATCTTTCTCCCTGATCAATCGTCAGTTCTGACCTATATATCCGACACATTGTCATTTCAGTGATCTTTTGGACATTTAGGTTGGGTCCTTTCGACTGCTTTAGTTCTACGGCGAATATCCTCTTTATGTTATAATATTCTATATTCTATGACGTGTAATATATCATAACTTTTTAGTAAGAAGGTAACTTTATTATTCGTGAATTATAATTTATAGTCTCAAATTTGTAGCCCCCAATGTTTGCCTTGTTTGTAAACAAATTTGTAGAAACTGTGCCAAATCTGAAATTAAATTCAAAACTTGGCAAATGTTACGACGGCAATTGATCTTCTCTGAATATCTAATTTCAAATCCACAAGTTTTTGAAAGCAATTTTAAAGTATCTCACATCATTCTATAAATTCAAACAGCAGGCACATGCCTGCATGTATACGTCGTGTAAAAGTTGCAGAGAACGTAATGAAAATATTTATAACATGATAGTGAAGAATGGAGTAATATGGTATAGATAGCAGTAGTAGATATAATAGATGTAGAATAGGTAGCTATGTTTTAGAGAGCACAAGGGATCTGTGACAGTAAAAAACCGGTCGCCGATCTTTAACACGTCAAGCAAGTTTTGCACGACTACAAGCTACGGGTCCCGCGCGTTATTCACAATCACTGAGTGAAACCGATTTCAGTCGGACGTGTACCTGTTGTACTACCACAAGTCAGAGGAATCGCAGAAAAGATTGGCTACATCTTGAAGCGGGCTTCTATAAATAAAA